TAGCCGAGGTCAGGAATCGAACTTGGGGGGAGCAGGCTCAGAGAGCAAGGTACATAAACTACTGCCTCACTGCTCAACCTATTGATGAAATATAGGAAACTATAAAACGAAGAAAAATAAACACACGGCTGGAGCATTGGCACAGTGTTTTAGTGCCGCTTGTGCCATGAATGTGGCGGACTGAGTTAAGCTATCCCAGTCATGCCCAACAGCAGTAGTGAGCGATATCTTAACCCTTTCCAGTTCCGATGATGTAGGCAAACAATGAATCGGAAGTAACAGGCCATGCGGAAGGGCGTGTGGCACAGTTTGACACCAGCTATCATAAGACTGCAGTCGTGTCACGACAGTTCTCTGCGGTGAGGACAAATTCTTTAAAAACATCGGTGCTATGCCTCTCTAAACAAAATTAACGTTAACCGCTTGTGCATTCCAAGATTCAGCAGTGAACGGGACCCACCCTGCAACTTGCAGACGTCTTGGAACGGGAAAGAGCTAACTGGTCCTGACCGCTACGACACCAACCCTCACATCGACCAGCACGGTGAAGTACTCCTCCAACTGACGGCGTGGCATGAAGAGGCCGTCGAGCGGCAGTGACGTGCTGTGCTGCACGACCTCCGAGCCAACGATAAATGAAAACAAATGTTACTGTGTATTTGGAAGGGATGATGTGCAAAGGGCATGAAAAAAAATAGCCTTGGCAGGAGCCAGCCCTAACAAGGGCTGACTGCTTGGCTAGATTCAACTCGGGTTTAGTCAAACTCCATTCCTCACACTCCTCCCCCACCTCCGAACTTCTGCCTCCACAACCCCCCCTTGACCCCAACTCCTCATTCCCATCTCCCAAGTGCACCAATGTTCCCCATTGAAATGCGTATTATGTCGTTAAACGCCGCATTGCCTGAAAAATACAAATAGAAGCGTGAAGCGGCGTGCGGAGTAACGGATGGGATTTTGTAAACTATCCGAGCTCAAGTTATGCGCATCAATACTCAAAACTCTCAAACATTCATCTTAACTCACTTCGTTCTAAACTTAGCCCTGAACGTAAAGGTGCTTTAAAAGCCTGTGACCAGACTCACCCTGAATGTGTCCAATCGTGTTATCCAAGCCTGGTTAATCCCGCCAAAGCGACAGACTTAAATAGAAGATTTATTTTCATAAAAAATACGCGAGGGTGTTGAGATCTGAAATCTCGATATTTCAGAAGGGAGACCCTCTGGTGAAATAATAATACAGGGAGGTTCCAGAGCACACGGATGATTATTCAAAGTGCAAAAATGTAACAAAATGACACAGGGACAATATAAGTTGCGTTGCGTACACAGAATTAACGAAGAGCGTCCGGGTCAAAAATAAAATAACGCAATGTTAAACCAAAATATTCACAAATCGAAATTAATGTATTCTTGTGCATGTGACCTGCATTCATCGATTGTTGTTATTTCCTCGCACCTCCGATTAGCAATGTTGGCGACGTACGGTGCGAAAGAAGTTCAACACGTACAGGTTTACAAGCCTTGATGATCACATGCAGCCTGCTCCAACACCTCAGTGCCTTAGTCACCACTTTAGTGCAAGGGACTGTAAAATATATATTACTGAACGATAATCTTGACCTAAGCAGGAAGCGCTGACTGTCCATAACGAAAATACAGGGTGGCTCTAAAGAGAGGGCAACTCGGCCCTGGTCGATTGTAAAAATGGGTCACATTTTGTCACAGGTCCGACCGGGACATGTGTTGCAACTGTTACGTGCAGAACTCGCAACGCTCCACCCAATTTGTTGTGAGCGTTTAAAACGACCCAGGATGGATTTTAAACGTAAGATATACTAACCCCAAATGTCATATAATCTGGTTTATACCTAAGCTAAAGTGAAGAAAATGCACGTGTTAAAAAAAACTGAAAGCCTAATGGTTTGCTCCCTCAACAGCCCCCCCCTTCTCCCCTCCCCCTCCCATCCCACAAATCGATGAACTTTCACGATTCAGCCACGCTATTCCAATCTTAGAATCAATTCTCTTTTTACTTTGCATGGTGAATGTAGTGGCCACTCGTGGCTGCGGGGGTTCACGTGTAGCCATCATACATGACAGGCTACATATTCAAAAATAATTGTTACTTTTTCTCCGTACAGCGCCGGTGTTCTTTTTTCTCCCAGAGAGGCTGCCCTCACAGCCCACCATCCCATGGTACAACCAAAGTCGTCCCTAGGGGTACACGGTGAATCGGGGCGACCGCCCCCAGCCCTCGATTTGGGGGGCGACCGCCCGGGCCCTCGATTTGGGGGGCGACCGCCCGGGCCCTCGATTTGGGGGGCTTCTGAGCTTCGACGTAAAGGTGTCAGATGTAAAACTTCCGGTTTAGTTTGAAGTCGGAGGGGGGGGCACACAGTGGGGTTTCCCCCGGGGCCCGCAACCCCCGATGGATGGTTCTGGGTATATAACTGCCGTGATAACCAACCATCAGCAACGTTCACGTGTGCGGTGGCATATTTGCATACGAATAGAAATGGATTAGTGATCACGGGAGGGTGGAGCCACGAGGTGGGTTGTGAGGACTGTACACCAACGACGTGATTTTAAAAAAAAACGTTGATTCTCACATGCGATTCTCACGCACCGATTGTGAGCTTAATAACCGATATTACACCGACTAATCTATGAATCATTACCCCTATGTTATAAAAAAACGTACCCAATTAGCTGGCACTGAACAGCACACTCGGATTCAGAATTTAAATGTTGAAATTTCAAATCAGAGTCGCCTTGGCACATCATCCCTATGAGGCCAATAACACAACTACCACCTCGTTAGGGTGACGGGGGAAATCAACATTGGTTGTCCTATAGGAGACTGGCCTCTGCCATAGGAATGTGGAATTTCGACCAATGGCTCAGTGCGCCTCTGATGAAGAGTACCACCGCCCCGCGCCCGTTCCAGCAGCATGACGGTCAGAGACTCTTTCTGAGACTGAGAACGTTAGAGGAACCGGGCGGTTTTACGTGCTCCGTGACTCAAGCGGTATTTCACTAGAGGTTGTTTCAACAGGATGGAAGCAGTAACATTGTTAACTTTTACGGGCAAAACTGCAAGCGGCGGTGAAGTTTAAATAAGTCTGCAAAAGAGGGATGCCCCCAACCCCCATCAAGAATTCCAACAAAATCCACAATGTCTTAACACACACACTCACCAAACACCATTGCAGCATCACGTTTTATTAACATATTACTGTACAATGGGTTTTAAGTGTACATTAAAAGATCATTCAACACCTTCTTGGTTCTTTCGGTAAAGTCACGTAGAAGGGAAATAAGAAAATAATACAAATAAAACATAATAAAATACAATTCTCACGACGTTTCAGCCACAATGCAAGCAGCCGTCCTCAGGTGAAGAACAGGTCTGTAGGAAAGACAGCGTCTGAATGAACACCACCAAGCTTGGCAGCGTATATTTACGCTGGGTTAGGGGAGGAAGGGCGCCTTGACAAAGCAATTTGCATGTCAAGAGGAATTTAGCATATTTATGGAAAATGCAGATATGGGATTAGTCACTACTTGTGGAATGCGTATGTAGGATTAGCAGCAACAAAGGGAGGTAGTGTCAGCAGTAATAAAGGGAAGGAATGTTAATAGTAAGAAGCTGCAGCAGCCAAACCACCACGTAAAAAACTAAAATATAAACTACATCAATATCATCAATATACTAAATATACTCTCCAATAAGCTGAGCTACTAACAGTAAGTCATACATTACAATTCTATGTCGCAATTACAATTCTATATATACACGGGCATAATGACTTTGAGACCCCCCCCCCCTCCTACGCATTCCACATGTAGTGACTAATCCCATATCTGCATTTTCCATAAATATGCTAAATTCCCCTGTTGACATACAAATTCCTTTGTCAAGGCGCCCTTCCTCCCTTAACCCAGCTTAAATATACGCTGCCAAGCATGGTGGTGTTCATTCAGACGCTGTCTTTCCGACAGACCTGTTCTTCACCTGAGGACGGCTGCTTGCATTGTGGCCGAAACGTCGTGAGAATTGTATTTTATTATGTTGTATTTTTATTATTTTATTATTTCCCTTCTACGTGACTTTACCGAAAGAACCAAGAAGATTAATCCCTGCAGTCACTAAAGCTTTAAATCGAAATCATTCAATACATTGATCAATAACGTTGTGGCCTTAGAATTAAATATACCGTATATAATGGGTGACGTTTTGCGCAATGGTCCTTATTCATTATTCATAGCACAAAGATGAAGAGTTTGGCTTATTCGTTAAAGAGGTTGGCTAATTTTCAGGTTGGCACACGTCATCATGTTTCAAAAACTCACGGCTCTACACATCATAATCTAAGCCGGCACTGTGGTGAGCTACTGCACATTGGCATGCCAGATTTCATCAGAGAACATTCGCCAAATAAAAATCACTTTAAGAATAAGTGAACAATGTCAAAACTGGCGTTCAGTGCCTACGTTTGATATCGCCACGGCTGCAATGTTAGGAACACACTGTTAACAAACAACCCAGATCAGACTCGGCATGCTTGTTTTAGATTTCAAAAAGTTCCACAATGCCACTGACAAAGTATTCACACTGCAGGCTGTCAGGCAGCGACACACACACACATCGCAATCAGGTGGGGCCAAGCATACTGATGTTAAGTTCAAGGAAGAAGAAATTAAGATACCGCGGCTACGTGGAAACCACCAAAACTGAAGCGTAAGCGATAAGTGAAGCACCCCACACCCCCACCCCTCCAATCCCAGTTCCCCTTCAAACCCCGGCGTGTTGCCCGGCAGACAGACACCAAACAGATAATCCATTGACATGAGCCAGTGCACCATAAGAGATGAGAGTGTCGGGAGGGTAGCGGCTCAAACAAAACGAACAAAACACATTACGTTTTAATCGTGACCAAAAAAAGCATGTCGCAAGCCCCACCAGAAGCGGCAACAGTTGGTACGGACGGTACTTACTTTCTGCGCGTCATCCATCGGAAGCCAATGACACAACCAACCCTTGCGTCGTTGAAAAACGTGTCCCGCGCAGACGATGCGGAGGACGATTCTAGCTGGGCTTTCTCCCTAGCACTGTTTGCGCCCGCATGTGCCTTTAGCCTGGGTGAGCGAAGAGACACAGAGTTTACGATGCAACACACCTAGGACGGCCGACGTACACGAGCGAGCAAGCGAGTGACGCGATTGCCACGCAGCCAATTCTCACTTTAATTTTTTTTCTTAAAAGGCAGGACAACGGTTAAGTGTGCACTACGGACCCGACACCTCCAGAATGAGGACAAACAGGTTGGGAGCACACGCACGCACACACCCAGGCTGCTTCCTCAAGGCCCCCCCCACAGCCAATGGCATTAGGCAAGGCCCATGTCGTCGGTTACGCATCACACATTCCTGCCCACGAGGCAGCCACCTTTGTTTGAGCATCTTGCACAACCGCCATGTCAACGCATAACGCTGACAATTTTGCAATTTAAACATGACGTCCGGCCCATAGGAGGCTTTGAAGTAATGTGTGCCAACTTTGGGAAACCATCACCACACCCAAGGCAGCAAGATATGGGAGCTACCGAGAGATGGGAGTGCTGGCATTGGCGAGGTCAGGGCAGAGAAGGGGAAGAAGAGGGGTGGGCAGGTGAGGGTTTGAAAGAACTTATAAGTGTAGTTGCAGTGCAACGGGTAGCACAGTCTCAGGCGATATAGGCTTAAAGGAAGACCGAACCGCCCATGCGATGCGATCCACGGCGTCACGAGGCACAAGAACGTCGCTACTGGAAAGAAAGTTGCACACTTGGGCTGAAGAGCTTATGCCACCATGTCATTACTGTTAGCGATGCGAGTGTCAATGCGTAGCGCCGGGCAAACGCCCTTTCGACTCTCCAACTCCATCAACGACTCCGACTTTGTTCATTTATTTTTACGCTCAACAATATGAAGGACGTTTCTTGCGCTAACTTTTGTCGGCACATGCGGCGAAAACATTTAAAAGTGTCTTCCTCCGAGAATATTCACCCTTAAATGTCACGTTCAACCGAATGGCGACAGAGTGCCGTGAGGGTTGCCGACTCTCAGTGGTTTATGGGGATGCCCAGGTGCACGTTGCTATCGGTACGAATGCATCAGACACACGTTTGGTCATCATCGAGGTGTGGTCGAGTGCGTTGACTTTGGTGTAATTGCCCAACTCACCCCTTTGCAAACACTTGTTTGTTTGCATTACGTTGTTGCAGAAGGGCAATATATGTTCATGTGTAGAGTAACAACAAGAGAAACAGACTCAAATTGGGCAAACAAGTGTTTCTTGCCCATGTGAACCAGCCCACCTGTGCAGGAACAGAAACTGGTGCGGTCAGTAGCGTTGTCCAGCGGGAATCAATCACAATTTAAACCATTGCATTATTACTATTATCGCAATTATGTAAAGGGAACTTAATTGCCGTACCACAACAGCCGCCACGATCTTGACTGTGACAAGATTAATGCGTCGCCGTGCATTCATTAAACCCTGTGCAAGTAGGCTCGCCTTTCACAAAGATCTGCACCGCAAACGTTATTATCATAAGAGTGTGCAAGCCATATTTTACATTTGTACAGCAACACGATTGACAAAACAATCTGACACTGGATTGTTAAGACATTATAACAAGGTCACAAGACAGAACGTTCACCCTGTATATCCTCAACAGGCTGCTTGGGCAAGTGCTGTTAACGAGCACCTATGAAGGCCGGCATGGCACGCAAGGGGGTTGTTGACCAGCAGCATTCCCGGCCGCCTTTATCTCCCCAGTTCTCAATTCATTTATTTTACAGCACACCAGGCACTCATGTTTAAGGCCGATTCGACCTAGGGGATGCCGGTTAAAATATTCGCCACTGGCGTTGGTCGCGAGCGGGAATCGAACTCGGGTTGCCGGGGTTCGCGCAACCACTAAACGACCGCTCCCCACCAGGTGAGACCAGAGACGAGCCAAGACCCCTCCTCCCCTCTTCCTGTCTGATTAGTTCCTCCTCATCTACACAAAGGATTAGACGTGGTTATCGTCGCCCTCAGGTTGTGGCCAAAATGTCCCTCCCCATGAGGCCCAAGGCAGCTGAAGGCAATGCTGCCGATACTGTCCTGATGAATCCTAACAAGCACGAAACCGGGAAAGTTGTCTCATCATTTTGCGGTCTAAGATGACATGGCAGCGATTTTGACTCCTGTTGAATCTTGGTTGGTCAAAATCAAGGCTTGTGTGCATTACACATGAAGTATGGTGAAGTCATGTGACACGCAAGGCCTGATGGGACGACCAATACAAATGGTCACATTCCCACCATTCTGCCGTATATAAATCACTCTTTATTATTACTAATTACTATTTTAAAAATTCCATCCTGCGAGAAAGCTATAGGTTTTGATTTCATGACTGCAGGGATTCATATTCTTGGTTCTTTCGGTAAAGTCACGTAGAACCAAGAATATAAAGCTATAGGTGTCCGAAGAGTTTCTCGTAAGTTACAGACAGTGTAAGAATCCGTTAACAAGGATGACCTGCTTTCAGCTATAAACGTCAGGAGGTGGTCTAAGGTACTACATACACCATTATAGGCAGTGGCGGCTCCTGCAAAATCTCTCAGGGGGGGCAAATGTCTGGATGATAAATTAACAGCTTAAGCATGTAAAGGCAACTTCACTTCTTTAATATTAATGAAAAATAAAGTGACTCTTACAATACATCTTGTTTGTTTCTATACTCACTATTAATACAATCCACTCAAGTTTCTTTTATTAAAGATTCACAGTGACGGCTAGCGTGACTCTGTGGTTGAATGACATTGGTGGTGCGTCGCCCAATCGCCCTAATGAAGAAACCGCCCCTGATTATAGGGCCAAGAATGGTGACGACTCACTTCTGTAATTCAGTCAGAGAGAGAGGAAGCCACTTCATGGTGCCAGTCCACGGGAGTCGGTATATATTGATACTTAGCACCCATACGTCCAGCCATTCCAAGCCCGCTAGGGTATGTGTTTGTTATTCCACACCACCAACACCGGCAATAAATCGACCGGCCATCAAACATAAACTGTTACGTAACCATGACGGCCGATTACACAGGTAGCCACATTCACTTTGTTTAACAGATAAACAAATATACCCACAGGTTAAATCGCTTGAAATTAAATATCATTTTTATCCACAGACACGCCCGGATATTCCGGATCAATGATTCAGGTGGCGTTTGTTTACGCAAGACAAGATGGGAGCTGGGTTAAAATTAAATGTGTCCCATCTCCAGGGTTGCGGACTTCGTAAAGGAAAACAAAACACAACAGAAAACCCAGTGTTGGTTTTACTATTCTTATCATCTGTTGTAATAAAAAGGCACTGTTGGATAAAGGCCACCCAAAGATGTCGGCATCTTGCACGGTCCCAGCTTCAACGGCTGTTCACTAACCTACGTGTTGCTCTTTCTGCATCTGAAATAACAGCAATGTTGTGTTTTTTTTAGTTTGAATCATTCTCAGAGAGGCGGCAGCCATGCAGGAACACCGAGGAGCAAAACTGAATCGCGGCAGAGAAAAATAATAATGCTCAATATAATTTCATGAAATGCTGGTGAAGTGTATTTAAAAACACTGGGGGGGCATTTTGTTTCCCCAACTAGGCTGTTTAAATGCTACCCTAACTAATCCAGTAAATGTTTAAATTTTAAACTGTGTTGTCAAATAGTATTTGAGTAAAACAGGACCGACCGGGCATGGAGAACACGGTGCCCCCTGGGGCACCCGCGTGGCGTGGGGCGTGCCACAGACGCTCTGGGAGAAATCTGAAAAATGTGCTGAAGTTTGTCAGCCTAACAAACATCACATTTCTGATCTGGCTACGTCGCGCTCTCTCTCTCTCTCTGGTGAGAGCTCCGGAGCAGGTTCTCATTGGCATTCTGCCCGAGACCATAAATAAATCCACACGGCAAGCGTGTGCCCTCCTCAAGACGGTTCATGCCAAACGCTGCAAGTGCTTTGCTTAAAGTTGAGGCCTCATCACCGTTGCAATCTATAACAAAATCACCCGATAAACGCACCCGATGGCATCATATCTCAGAAGCTAAATAGGGTCGAGCCTGGTTCGTACTTAGATGGGAGACTGATTGGGAATACTTGGGTTTTCGAGGAGGAAAGGAGATAGCACTAGAGTACTGGCTTCTTGCATCCATCTGCATGGAGTTATCGAGTCTCACTCCAAATGTCAAATGTAATGAGTTCCATTGACCCCTTTATTCATGAGAGACGTATCCTGAAAACGAATCGTGTCGGTGAATTTCAACAATTAATTTCAATGAGGGCGGTAAATCCTCACAAGCTAACCTGATTCTTAAGGTGTATTTTTATACTTTTTGCAACTTCAATCTACAAAGCCACGACTGTGTTTGGGATCGCCTGTGAATTGGCAATCGAGGGTGATGGTGTTGCACAACCAGCGGCTTGTTGTTTATCTTTTCAGTGTTAATATACACAACTTATTACTAATGTGACATTTCAGGGAATGGCCCTCCTGCCATTAACTGAAACGACACTTAATATGTTTTATTTAGTGTTGAAGCAGTGTTATTAACGAGCGTGTTTAGTTGTCGAAATGTCTTTGCTTGCGCCCCCACTGCCAACACAGCATCACAAATATAACATTTCGCTTTTAGTTTTGTTTAAATCGCGTTATTACTGAGGGGCACCCAGTGGTGGTGTACACCTCTCCCCGCTGTTTGCACATCACCCTCTCTGGATTTTCTAATTTCTTTTCGACGAGCCCCCCCACCTCCCCCAGAAGAAAGATTACACCCGCCCCCTGTCGTTGTGCTACCACGGTTGTAACGAGTGGCCAACAGCTGGCTGGAAGGATCCTCTTTGCCAGGTTCAAGCCGATTCTGCGTCGGAGCACTAAACCCCGCGTGAACGCGAGTGCACCCTGGCAGCGCTGGCGGTTGCATGCAACGCGCAGTTGAAACGTCCACCCGTCTGAATGTGAAGTGATGGTCATCACACTCGTGTTACGACACAGTGACGTGGCATGGATCCTGGTGCAACAAATGAAACAGCTCCAGTTTCTTCGCCTTTGGTCACGATG